AATTCGTACTTTAATTTGGTGATTTTTGTCATTGTTAAAACACCGTTGTGAGCAGGTGCATTGTCTTGATCAAAAATGATTTTTTTTGTTCTGCAAACCAGATGTTTTCTCACAAATATTTTCATCCAGCTGATTCAAAATCGTTAATGCAATAATATTCAGAGTTAATTGTTTTACCTTTCTGCAGATAATCAATCAAGAAAATTCCTTTTGCAGTCCACTGTAAACGTTCTGGTTTCAATTTAGGATCATGGTGGTAGATCCAAGTCTCATCCATATTCATAAAACGACCGAAGAAATCGGTTTTATTCTACTTAAAACGTTCCAAATTTTGCCGAGAAATTTGTTTTCGATTCAGTTTTTGTTAAATTGTTAACTTGTGCGACATTAACATTCCAAACAGCTTTTTTTTATGTAATTCTCCATTTAAAATATGAAGTACTGGTTCGTCTGAGATGCCTATGGCATTAGCAATTTTACGCTTAGTCAAACTTTGAACTAACAATATTATGAACGTGCTCAATGGGTTCTGGTGTAGTTGCGGTTTTTGGTCGTCCTTCGCGTGGATCGTCTTCATGCCTAGTAAGACCACGTTTAAGTTCACCAGCCCAAAATTCAACGGTGAATTTTGAAGGTGAGGATTCCTTATACATTTCTAACAATTGTGCATAAATTTCCTTTGCTTTTAAACCTTTCAAAACAAAGAATCTAATCACTGCGCGATATTAAATGTTTTCCATATTAAAAAAATACTCTGACACGTCAACTTCAAATGGCTTGTAAACAAAGAATTAGTTGCCAGAATGACTTGTAACTTTGCACGTGTTCTCACGACAAATGTACAAACTTGAAAAAAAATTTCGAGCTAGAAGTACTATTTCTTGGTGAGAGCAGAAGTTCTATAACCAACCTGTACTTATCTACATATAGGAGCGCATCGGAATCTTTGCATACTGAAAAATCCGTCAGCCAATTCTTGAGTGTACTATTAACCTAAGCAATGTATTTTTTTAATCTGTGACATAAGTCCAGTCTAAAACATGTAATATACCCCTACCAGCTTTGATTAGAATTTAATTTTGCCCTTGATTATCATATATCTGCATTCTATGCATTTATTGATTATACATTTGCAATCCTTCATTACTAGTAGACGCTGGCGGAGACATAACAACGTCGATCAGTCACTTTAAAATGTTGTGTTAAGTATACATATATATAGGTTTTTTCATCTAAATTCAACACCTTAAAATAAAATGTTATACAAGCAAAGTACGTATATATGAAAATTATTAACAAAACTGGACGCATTGATTTCTAGAAGCTTTTCTGTCCGTCTGCTCAACTTAATAAAAACTTGACACTCTGATGAGGTTGAGATTTCAATTGGACAAAATTAAATCACTTTTTATGACAACTGTCGCAAATTGGTCTTAATACTTTTTTGCCCAATAAAGCGTATAAAACTATAGCGTCTACCAATAGGCTTCAAATGGCTTCATCAACAAACACAATTGTTGCTATTGGGGTGAGTCAAATCTTCGTGTGGTTTAATTGCGTCCCCAAAAATTTACCGCATTGTGGTATGGCGGCATCATCGGGCCTTATTTATTTCAAAATAAGGGAGGAAATGCCATCAATAGCGAATTTTAAAGCACCATGTTAACCGACTGTTTTCCCCCCGGAATTTGATGAAATCGACGCGGACGATCTCTATTTCCAACAAGACGGTGCATGGCCTCATGTTTCACACCTAAACATGTACACATTGCGTACAAAGTTTGGCGACTCGTTAATTTAGAGAAATGGCCCAGTCAAATGACCGCCAAGATCATGTGATTCAACGCCTCTTAATTATTTTCTCTGGGGGTGTGTTAAATCAAAGGTTCACGCCAATCAACCAACGCTGCTCGAGGAGCTTGAATACAACATTCAGCGTACTACAAGTATAGCCGAAATGCTGCACCGGATCATCGAAAATGGGTGTAAACGGGTGGAGATGTGCAAACGGAGCCATAGGGCCATTTGCAGACATTTTATCCAAATCATAATTGGCATAAAATTATCTACATAGCAGAAAAAGTAGAACTCATTTTGTCCAAATTTGCGGCCATGTCCATGTGCGGCCCCTGTCCCGTTCATGCCACGTTTGCCTGCTTGTTGAGTAAGTCTGTGATTGACTCCCTCAAGACTCAGTTCAATTTATAACATGTTCGTCGATTAGACAGGTGTTTGTTCTGGCTAGTTTATCTGCTTCACAGTTACCAGGGATAGCAATACGCCATGAAATCCATTGCAGGTTTATCGTGAAATAGGATGTTAGATCCATCAAGAGATCAAGGCCTTCTTTTACTATTATTGACGATATCCGCTTGGAAGACACTGCAGTGGTCTGATAAACGGAAAGCGATTTTGGTGTATAATTTTGCTGGCTGCTAGTTTGGACCCATCCGTATAGATGCTTATTCTCTGTCCACCTCCCCCCTTTCGCAAGGCATTATTGGGGACCGAATTTAGTTTCAATTCTATGGGCGATAAATTGGGTGAATTCTTCAAGATCGGTTACTAACCAGACTAATATGTAGTTCTGGGACTGCTGAAATTGAGCCGGGAATGAACCGTCAGGTCCTGGCGATTTGAAGGGCTTGAAACTTCCTATCACCCAATTTACATTTCTTTCTGACGCTATATCTACAGGAATGGAATCTTCAATATATCGACTCCACTGTCTTGTGTACCATATACTCAACCGTATGGTTTTCATAGCTACCTGGGAAGTGGGTATCCATTAGTAGGCCTAAAGACTCTACACTGATTGTGCCATTATTTTCCTTTCGTCGTTATTGGTCGAGTTATTGAATTGATCAACGAGGATGTTTAAGTCCTCTCTGTTCCCGGGTTGGAATGGGGGAATCATAAGAATATGTTTCTTCAGCTCTTGCAGGTCCACCTGCCAGTTCGTTTTCCCATGATTCCTGAATTTTCTACCATGCCTACATTTTCTTAATTATACATTAAATGTTCCTCAAGAACTCTCCATTTGAGTTATTTTATTTATCAGTTCTTCCGACATAAGTGTTATGTCTAATACTTCCAGTCGATTCCTTGTCATAAATGTTGGCATACTGCCTCTGTTGAACAACAAAAGTTTAGTTCCTAGCAAATAATTAAAGAGTAACCCAACCCTCTCGTTGATGTCTGTGCTTCCCCATAGTGTGTGGTGTGCGTTACATTCGTATCCAGGTATAATTGCGAACTTGGATGCTTCGCAGCCTAGTACCAGCTCTTTAATCAGCTGTGATGGTACTTCCACCTGTTCGTAGGGCATATAGCATGACACCAGCCGGTATTTATTTTTTCACCTCCTAGCTTATTCCTGCATTGTCTTGGTTGCTATAGCTATGTAACATGAAAGCGTTAAGGTTGTAGTTCGGCGCCCTCAGTCCGCAAATCGACTTCAACCATCTGTCTGCGACATCGGCATCTGACTTGTATGTCATGATCTTCACTTTTGTGAATCCATAGTTGATCTCCCGCTACTTTTCGTCAGCGGTTCCATGGATTCCTTTGTTAGTAGCAGTAGGGTCTGCATCGTGGCCCTTTTAGTCTCCCCGCCAGATTCTGTTGCGGGGTCCTCGAAGCTTGTAACGAATCTCCACCCCTATTTCCTTTCGGTTTTTTTTATTATCTATTTCTTTTTTGTTATTATTCTGGTTCATGTTTTGGACCCACGAGTGTTGGGGAAAGTATATCCGCATGCGCATAGCGCCCGTTACGCAAGTAAACTATCTTATTACGGAGGGCACCAAGTAACCATAAGCACCGTTGGAGACTGGGCTATTTAAGGGCCGCCAGCCAGGTTGATACTCGGCACGGGTCGCATGATACCTTAATCCAGCCCTTTCCGTACGCCCAACCATAGTAAAACTCCCCATCTGACTACTGTGGAAGATTTTAGTGTAATTTTAAATGCGAAATAATTAAAGTTTCAATTTTTAGGCGAAGACTGCGATGTGGAACGGCTGGATCCAAAGAAAACCGATCCTGAGTATTTCGAGTTCGTATGTTTAACTGTGGAGGAGGTAGAAAAATTGCTCAACGAGTCAGTAGAAAAACTGAACACAATTCTAGAGATTACTCCTTCACTGGCAAAGGTATTACTGCTAGAGCACCAATGGGACAATCAAGTGGTGGTGGATAAATACCGAATGGATGCAAACGCATTGCTGATAACAGCTCGAATAAAACCGCCAAATCCATTGCTCAGTATACCTGATCCATTAGCGCCCTCCACCAGCAAAGAGGCAGTTGCATATGGTACCAATAGTAGTGGTAGTAGTAGCACTAACAGTAGTAATGATGACTCACCACGCAACGCATTGATCTCATTAGGTATATGCAGCACATATAATACAGTGACACCTGGCGGAGGTATCATTTCACAGCGCTGTCAAATGTGCCCAGTCTGTGCTAGTTCTCAGATGGATGATAAATTCTTTAGCCTCTCATGTGGTCATGCGTTCTGTAAAGACTGTTGGTCAACGTTTTTCGATACGCAAATATTTCAAGGTATTTCCACACAAATCGGCTGCATGGCCCCCATGTGCAATGTGCGAGTTCCCGAAGATTTGGTCTTGACCCTAGTGACACGTCCTGTAATGCGCGACAAGTATCAACAATTTGCGTTCAAGGATTACGTAAAATCGCATCCTCAGTTGCGCTTCTGTCCCGGACCGAATTGTCAAATTATAGTTCGCTCTCCAGAGGTGTGTGCAAAGCGGGTCATCTGCACTTCTTGCAATACATCGTTTTGCTTCAAATGTGGCATGGATTATCATGCGCCTACTGACTGTGTAGTTATTAAAAAATGGTTGACGAAATGCGCCGATGACAGTGAGACAGCCAATTACATTAGCGCCAATACCAAAGACTGCCCGAAATGCCACATTTGTATAGAAAAGAATGGAGGTTGCAACCACATGCTTTGTTTTAACTGCAAACACGACTTTTGTTGGATGTGCCTGGGCGATTGGAAAACGCACGGGTCCGAATACTATGAATGCTCTCGCTACAAAGACAATCCGAATATTGCCAATGAATCGGTGCATGTACAAGCTAGAGAAGCGCTTAAGAAATATTTACACTACTATGAACGGTGGGAAAACCATTCGAAATCTTTACAATTGGAACAACAAACCATTGACCGACTACGTGACCGTATCAATGAAAAAGTGATGAAAGGACGGGGCACATGGATTGATTGGCAGTATTTGTTCAATGCGGCAGCCCTGTTAGCGAAATGTCGGTATACACTGCAGTATACATATCCATATGCTTACTTCATGGAGAGTGGTTCGCGTAAAGACCTTTTCGAATACCAGCAGGTTAGTTTAAGTAATAAATAAATAGAACCTTATGTAAATATAATTTAACAATCTATTTAAAGGCTCAACTTGAAGCTGAAATAGAGAATTTGTCTTGGAAAATAGAACGTGCGGAGACCACAGATTTGGGGGATTTGGAGAATCAAATGGATATTGCTGAAAAACGTAGAACAACGTTGCTCAAAGACTTTTTGCCCGTGGATGTTTGAGTGCCAATTAAATGACTGCAGTAAAATAGTGAAATTAATGTATATTTAAGTTTATGTCTCAATGATTAATCCATATGCTATTATCTGGAACATGGCTGCTAATTCGAATGGATAAACTGCAATACAAACACAATGCGCTGAATATTTTTTAGAATATCAAAGAAAATCACACACATACACATCCATTAACGTATAATTACGTAATGTTTCCCATATATAAATTAAGTAGGTTATAAAATGTATATATTTATAAAGCGATATTACCTCTTGGCAATATCTACATGAATGTGACTCGAGTTGTGTTAAATATTGACGAATTTACGACAAAAACACTTACACAGCATGTTTACACTTCGATTAATTAAATAACATTCAATTAATTTCAGTTTTTAAAATACCTGAGAAGTGTAATATAAAAATTTTGATGTGAATGTCGAAACAAATTAGTAGCTTGATCAAAAGGCGTCAACTTCAGCCAATTAAGAAATGTTTGGCATGTATTAACTCATTAATGTAAAAGATTAACAAGAAATATGAGAAACTGATTTTGAACCCAGTAAGCGATTCAATTATAAAATAACGAAAGACGACTTAGGTACATTCTTTTCGTTTCAACGAAACAATATAAATATAATATAACAATGTGTTGCAGGTATACATACGAAAAAATTGTAGTGCTAAACAGTCATTTAAAAAAAAAAAACATTTTTTAACATTTTTGTTTATATATTTTTAAAAGATTTAAGCGAATTGTAATTTTCAACAGAATTTTCCATGCTGAATAGAATCTAATATTAGGTATATGGTTGTCTGCTAAAGCTTTTTTACCCAGTATTAATTCCAAAATATATATTAAATTTACCTTTTTTATAAAACTAATGTGATGGAAGGGTTTTGAATTCAGCGTCAATGTTCTGTTGGATGTGACTAGTTATTTCCCACAATAGATTTATTATCTCGCAATCTAATTTTATAGTGTATATACAATATGTGGTATTAAATTGGCTTTAGATTTTTGTTTTGTTTTTTATTTGGTTGTTTTATTTTATTTTAAATTTTACTGTGTATAGTTCGACTTACACATTTTGACTGAATAAGTAATATTATGATATACAATAAGTGTAGATATGGAGATTTAACATGAGCTCTTTTATTGTATAGTTAATTATAATTAGTTAACGTATTCCATCAAAGAATGTGGAATATATATAATGAAAACGACCACCATCCCAATTAAAAAGCTGGGACAACATGATATTTTCAATTTCTCTGTTGCATCTATATAGATTCGATCGCGTTTTTATTTTAATTACCTTGTAAATTTTATCATAAACATGTAACAATCCTTCAATTGAAACAATTGATATGAAAAATATGCTTTTAAAAACATTATGTGTATAAAAGTGTAATAATTAGAAAATAAAGTACATTAATAGCAGTCTCTTTGATTTATTTTCGTTTGGAGACTATTGAGATTAGTTTTGTATGTATGTATGGCGATTATTATGATACTAGAGTCATCTATGGATCACCTCCTTCTTTCCAGCTAAGAAGAAGGCGAATAATAAAACATGCATAAGTATACATGCAAAATGATGATGATGACGAGACAAGTTGAATTCCGGATATCTGTCTGTCCGTGCAAACGAATACTTGAGTAAAAATTGAGATAGCATTATAAGTAATATTAAGTAAAGCTGTATCCCCTCCTCACAGAATGTGAAATCGCATAATCTCCACGTCGACGAAATTTTTATTAGAGAGAAACTGAAAGCAAAGCTAGCATATCTTTTGCTTTCTCCGCTTTGTCCGCCGCAGTATGAATTGTCAAGCAAAGCGAGACAAGTTGTATGTGAATTGGCCAATAGCCCATCCTATTTGTCTCAGAGAACGTATTTTATAGAGAAGGTTCAATTGCGGACCAGCGTGTGAATTGTCAAAACCTAACAAGATTTTATTAGTGCATTTCACCTCAGCTAGCTCGGAAGGAGAAATTTTAACAGTGGCGCGTGAAGCTGAGCATTGAATGTAAATTATGCTCAGAAGTTTGCATTGATATTACAGCCCAATGTTAGCCTTTTGGCTTATATTTTTATACGCTTATATGCAATCAAATAAGTATATTGATATGAATTTCATTATGCGAATTTTTATGCATGCATGAGAAACTGATAAGACTCTAATTAAATGATGTAATTTTCAAAATAAAATTTATTGTCAATTTGGGCATTTAACAATTTTATATAGTTTTTACATAATATGCATTCCAAATAAATATTTTGTATTATAATAAGAGAGATTAAATTTATTACAATATATGTATGTATGTGTACATCTTATATAGTCATATGTATGTAAAATGTCAAATCATGATTTTATCACTTTTCAATACACTATATGTGCGCGCATTGATTTATATGTACATTTGCCAAACAAATAATGCATACACAAACCAACTTACATACATATGTATGTATATGCGTACACATGTAAATATGTAACCCGCAAATCCTTCAAACATTGTTCTACAAAAACAACAATCGTCACAAGTCAATATGTCAGCCAAATAGCCGAAGCCCAAATTTATAGTAAATTACACAACATTTTCAATTATGAACGCAAGCGTACTTTCAACAAGCAACCTCGCTTCATTCATCAGACACCCCACATCTCCCCGAGCATGCGCTTGCCTACAAGTGCCTTTTCGCGGCGATAGTAAAAGCTAAAAATCATAAATTGAACAAATTTCTGATGTTCCCTCTAGAAGGGAAAAGTTGCAACCCCGCAAATATAAGTATTAAAATATTTTAGAATAAAAGAGACAACATAGTATATTTGTCGGTTTACAACTCAAGAAACTTTTTTAAAAAAATATTCAATATTCCTCTGATTTATGTATACAGCAAACCCCGGTTAAGTACCACTCCTCCAATCCCTTTTATCTGCCTGTGTCTTGCTGCATCCCACGTTTTTCTTTAAATACATAGAAATTATTATTTTTTGGTACCATTCGCTTAAGTACCACCACTTAAGTTCTCTGCTATAGGTCTGAGGCGGGTATATGTGCAAAGTTTTTAACCTTGAGGATCTCCCCTATCCGCCCATACCATCAGATCGCGCCGCTAAAAGAATCGTAATCTGGTCAATAAACTTGATGCAACAATTATCTTAGTTTTAAAATATGAAATCTTATTTTTACAAAAAATACGGTAGAAATCAACGTTTTTTCTCCTTAACATAAATTTTTGTCATCCTCACAAAATTTTTTAACGGTTGAAAAGCTCAAACATGCGCTATATCAGCACGAACATATTATATCAGAGAACGTATATCATATATATGTTATATATATATACGTTCTCTGATCATATATATGTTATATATATATACGTTCTCTGATTATATATATATTATATATATATATGTTCTCTGAGTATATACATATATATACGTTCTCTGATTATATATCTATTTCGAGAATGAATGTGTCATTATAGCAAATGCGCACACAAAAACATTGCCAATCTCAATGTGATAGCGGCGTAAGAGATTCTGAGTAATTCGTTAATTTCGTAACGAGTTGAGTTGTCAAAAACTGGCGAGTTTTCGTCAAAAATACGCGAGCTGTCAAATTTTTTACGTTGTTTTTCAGCTACTAAGAAGATTACCGCTGTTGTTATAGACGAGGAAATAATTTGCGTTTTATTTAGCAAATGCAGATTGTGAAGTAAAACTATATAAATTTGATAACAAGGTGTGGTTTTTTGAAAATGTTTAAATATGTAATACCTATAAGATGCGTATAATAACAGTGCGTGTTATGTATTTCCACTCTTCCAGAATCGCTAGCATGCGTTCACTTTGTTATATTGTGAGTTATAGTTAATTGGGTAGTTTTATGGACTCTATTCATTTCAATATGTCTGCAGCCGACGAATTTGAGGAACCGGCCCCTACGCCCACTTATAATTGCAAAAGGTGTAAAAAGGTAAATATAATTCTGTGCTTGGGCGTCATATACAACTTGAACATTGCAATGGATGCTTGTATTAATAAATATTCCTTCTTAAATAGACTTTTTCTTGTAAAAGGGATCAGCTACTTCATAAAAAAGAAGTACATTTTCAAGCAAAGTCATCTTATGAGTGCAAGTTGTGCTCCAAATTTTTCTGCAATGGTGGCAATTTGGAACGCCACATGAAGGTGCACAATGATGTGCGCCCATTCGTATGTCATATATGCGAAAAAGCTTTCGCCCAAGCTGTTAACTTACAACGTCACTTTTCGGTGCATAATGGGGAAAGACCGTATCAATGCAACTTTTGTACCAAATCCTTTACTCAACAGAGTAACATGCATCGCCATCAACTAACTCACACTGGAGAAAAACCGTTCCGCTGTAAGCGTTGTGGTCGTTATTTCTCTCAGCGTGTTAACCTTAAGAAACATATTATGGGTCATTTAAATGCAAAACCCTACGCCTGTGGAATATGTCAAAAATCCTTTATTCAACTAAGTAACTTCAAGAAGCATTTGCAATCTCATGTAAAAGAAGGTGTTGAAGTAGATATTGCATCTACAGTTGCCGCAGCTACAGCGGCAGCACGCCAAAGTATTGAGTTAGCATCGCAACCTGTGTAAGTAAACACTTTCAATATGATAAGTGTAAACTCAATTTTTTTTTCTTGCAGAGCTTTTGAGTGTGCAATTTGTCGAAGTATTTACGATAACTTTGCTGATTTTGAAATGCATGAGAGTGCCTGTACAGGTGCAGTGCAACCGAAAGTTGAAACTCTAGACACAAATACCTCCGTTGACATGTACTCTCCAATGAAGTTCGAGGTTGCGCATCTGGACACTCATGAGATAATTATTGAAACCACCCGATAAAGTTAATGTATTGAAATACGTAATATACAAGTAATGTGAAAAATAAATTTAAATTGACCTAAAATAGACAAGAAGCATTAGTCAAAATTTTATGTGTGTATGTTGTTGTTGTAGCAGAAGAAAATATTGCTCACATAGTTTTCAAGAGTTGAGTTTTTAGTCCTTGAACGGACAAAAATCTTGGTCCGTTCTGTTAAATAGTCCCGACACTAACGTCATGGCACTAACGGATATTATTATTAATAGGTTTTCAGATCTATCAAGTCCTGGACAGTACAACGTTGTGTAAATACAAAACTATCAAACGATCGGAATGAGTTAAAAAAATGTGGGCAATTCCCACAACAGCCGGTTCTACGTTACCGGAATTGAAGGACGGCTTACTTCGGCGATCTAACCCTGTTTGGATCGGTAAGTTCTAGTTAAAAATATGCTGAAAATATCAAGGTGCAGTTATAAATACATACACACCTCGAGAATGGTATCATAACGGATTTCTCGATAAATCGTCTACCTTGTAACTCACTTCGATCACTGGATTGTTAAATAAAAGTCCAAATTTAATGGCAATACATTTATCTTTACTTCTAATTCTAACAACTTATTACTCGTTTTTCGAGTTTACAACTAATTGCAGGATCTTCCGTAGTTTCTCCGACATTTCCGAAGTTTCTCCGACATTTCCGAAGTTTCTCCGTCAGTCTGATTACAGTCTGATGTTATTGTCATTAATCGGACATCTATAATGTCTTCTTTAGTCTCAGCCTTTGAGCAATGTCTGCTTTCCAAACTACAGGGACGGCTCGACATCGCATCCGCATTTCCATGACTACTACCTTTGCAATGTTCTATAGGGAAGTCGTAACTTTGGAATCTCTCAATCCACCGTGCCAACAGTAATTCCCTCCGAGTTTCACAATAATTTTTCTCTGACTTGCTTATTGTCTGACTGTAATATAATAGCTTACTTTTTTTTTTAGAAGTTTTTATCCAACATGATGATATCGTCGAGGAATACCAAACAGGTCTTCCAGCGTAATCCTTTTAATACCTGGTTCATAAGTCTTTCAAAAGGTAGCAGTAACGCTCCTGCTAATCCAAAGGGCATTAGGGTAAATTGCCGTAGACCATCTTCAACGCTGAAAGCTGTTTTTTTTTTGTCTTTTTCGTTTACCCTTTTGGTTCTTCCTGGTTTGGAATCGTCTTTATCAAATACGGTTAAGTATCTTTGAAAGAGTTGTTTAGCATAATATTAGTCTGCCTCTAGTTCCTTGGTCGTATTTCACAATTCATCACGACCTCAATCTAATGACACTGCCCTAATATAGCTCCTTTGGAAAGTTTGATTTATGACTTGCACTGATTAAGTATCGTTTCTTCAACTTTTTCAAAGTAATAGGTTCACCCAGGTGTGATCTTCTATTTCTACTTGATGAGCTTTGAATGTTCGATTGCTAAACAGAGATAAACTCCCCAGATTTATGTGCAAAGGCTAAGTAAGCTAACCTCTCAATCTCTGTAGAAAACTTCTGCAGAAACTCATTGGTTTTCTGGCCACGATTTCGCAACTCGATTTGAAAGATCTGCTTCCTGTGCTCACTACCATACCGTCTTTCTAATGCACCCATCAACGTTTCATAACTACTCGCCTCGCAGTTTGTCTTCAGTGTTCCAATTATTTGAAGATGTCGTCTTTTCGAATTAAAGCTTAAAAACGTGGAACGGAAAAGTGCCATCAAAGGATGGAGGTTTTACCTTGGCAGAAGCTGACGACATAATTGGCTGATTTAATTGTAGCTCACGGAGACGATCTCTCAATTCATCCACTTCAGTTTTAATTCTATCCCGCTCTTCCGAAATCTGTGAGAACACTTCTGCTATTTGTGAGGTCACCTGCGATATCCGTGTATCCTGCTCTTCCAACTGTGAGAACACTTGTGCTGATATACGTGCATCTTTCGTTGCTCTTGCAACTGCGTTGACAACCGCTATTCTAACTGCGACATTTGTTGTCGAGTTGACATCTGAGACATGCGTGCTTTCTGCTCTTTCCCCATCTGCGATATTGCTGCAAAAATCAGGTTTATGTCCACCATCTTTGACGAGAATTGAGCCTCTTCCTTTTCTTCTATCTTTGTTGTCTCTTCCTCTAATTCCATGTGAAAGACATATTCCTCAACATTAATGTTTTCCGCCTCCATGGCCTCTCTCAGTCGTGATTGTAATTCAGGTTTTAATCCATTTGTCGCCAAACCACGTTGCTCCAGCTCCTTTTTCAGTTGTGGAATCTTCAGATCGTTAAGCTTGGCCATTTTCAAATAATTATCTCCTTGGGAATTTATTTGACAATCCCATTTCTGACACCAATTGTAACGGATTTGTCGATAAATCGTCTACCTGTAACTCACTCTTGAGTTCGATCACTGGATTGTTAAATAAAAGTCCCAATTTAATGGGTTCACACTTATCTTTATTTCGTATTCCAACAACTTAATACTTATTGCTCGTTATTCGAGCTTCCAACTGCTTGCTTATAACTTAACTGCTCTTATCACGACAACACTCTAACTAGAACTATGTTTGCTGCACAATCCGGTAGCCCTTATATAGTAAATCTGTAACAAAACATTGGTTCTATAACATTCTGGCAACTACGAATTCGCTAACTAGTTGGTGCCGTTTCACACAGGGACTCAAAAGAGTCTCATACCAGTTTATTGTGGGCGAGGGGACGACGAGGAAAGACGAAGGGACCGTGCCACTCGTGTTCGGGTGGCACGCTTTGTGTTCTTGTTCGCAACAGCTCGCTGCTACCCTTTTCAGCATTCCTTTTCACAGTTGCTGGACTCTTTTTGACCGTGTGAATGCCCAGAGCGACACCAAAAGAAAATTTGAAAAACATCAGACTCTTTTGAATCCCTGTCTGAAACGGCACTTGCTTCTGGCAGTTTATCGTTCATTCGATTTTGTTCTATCATCTATGTTCGTCACAATGTTAACAAAGCTTATGCCAAATGTGTCGGTTAGCGTATAAAAAATTTATATATGTATATATATATGAAATAGCTTAAAAATATATTCTCAAGTATATAGGGGGAATGTCAAAAGTTAGTGTAATCAGCTCAGACCTTTTCTGCCCACAATATACTCTATATAGTGATTTCCGACTTTTCACCTATTTTTAAACCGTTTAGCTTGGTCAAAATGTGTGATATTTTAGCTTCTTTCTTATATCATTGAAGATGGTCGAAATTGGACCACTGCCATGCCAACAAAACACATAAATTGTTATAAATAAGCTCCACAATAAGATACAAGACTATTATTTGGTATACAAGATCACATTAGGGAGAGGCATCTGCAGCTAAAATTCACTGAGAATAAATGTTTTTAGCACCTCTATCGACAGCGTGAAAATGAGTGAAATCGGGTGACAACTCCGCCCATTCCCCATATAACGGTACTCTTAATACTACTAAAAGCGCGATAAATCAAGCACTAAACACGCCAAAGAAAATAATTTTATCTTGACTTTATAGAAACCGCGTTCAAAATTAGACAGTGGGCGTGGCACCGCCCACTTTTTCAACTAAATTTGGTACATAACATTCTTTTAATATTTCTATGTTTTAGTGCGAAAATCGGTGAAATCGGATTACAACTACGCCTATTTCCCATATAACACAATTTTTAATTCCATCTGAATCTTTTACTTTTCATTATGTAAATCAAGCAACAATGATTATATCAGGGCAAAACTTTGTGTGACGTCCAACACCTGAAATAATTTTCCGGGCTTTGATCCTTGAAAGTTGCGAGAGTATAAAATGTTCGGTTACACCCGAACTTAGAACTTCCTTATTTGTTTGTAATATAAAGTTTTGACCACATCTATGTATAAGTATTTCGCCGGCCTTGACCACTAGATATGTAGGTGAGAATGAACTTATGGAGAAAACTTGTTGTAACTAATTATTAAGTCTAGGTGACTTATTTGCTAATTTTTGTATACACTTAACTAGTAATACACATAATGTATTTTAAAATCAAATTAATATGCACGTATTTAAAAACTATTTTTTTTTGTTGAATGTATTGTTTGAAGAAAATTTCTTTTTTATAGAAAATTTATTCAAATTTGGGTACATTTATAGTTTAGGTCCCCCAACTAAGGAGGCCTCAAAAATGAATTTTTTTTTAAATAGTCTTATTTTTTCGCGTAGATTATAAATCTGTGAGCGGAAAGTGAATTTTTTTAATATTTCTATTTTTTTAATTATTTCAAAAAAAAAATCAAAAATAAATCGTTTTTTTTATAAATATGCATTAAAAATAAAAAATTGTGAATTCGGCACAATTAAAAATTGTCAGATTGCACCTCTGGCTGGAACCTACTAGCGGAATACAAACACACCCATTTGACATTTGATTACTGCACAAGCTTGACAATCAGCTGTTAACGATTAATTTTACAGCAGGAAGTTTATTTCGTTGTAAACAATTTCTTTACCAATTCATGCGCATACTCTAATTATATTGGATCAAATATAAAAAATGACAAAAGTTGAAAATGGAGGCAAGCCCGATGTTAAGTCTGGAAAATCTGAAAAGGAGCGATCCAATAAACGTGCTCATAAGAAAGAAAAACAAAAGCCGCAAACGAAGGTATGTTTGTTAGTGACTTGGAGTATATTTAAGTGGTTATTAATCACATATAAAGATGTTGATATTTTAATTATATCATAGATCGTTCTTCGACATTTACCACCTACTATGACTGAGGAAGAGTTTCTAAAACAAATAGATCCATTGCCTTCACATGATTTTTACTATTTCGCTGCACCCGATTGGTCCTTGGGGTATGACGCTACCTGTCGGGCCTATATAACAATGAAGAACTATGAGGATGTGTTTTTGTTTAGAGATCGATTTGATGGATACGTTTTTGTAGATTCTAAAGGTGCTGAGTATTCAGCTATCGTTGAGTTTGCACCATTTCAAGGACTCGTTAAAAATAAGTCACGTAGAGTTGACAGTAAGGTGAACACTATTGAGCAAGAGTCGCA